TTTGTTCAAGTTCTTGAATGAGGCTATCCCCTGGTGGGTCAGCACCTGCTGAGCTTCTCTGATTCTTGCCCTGGGGCTTCCTTCTCTTTCTCATCAATCAAAAACCAATCCACCCACCTACCAACACACCCACCCACCCACAAACCTACCCACCAACCCACTCACCTACACACCCACTCATTCACCAACACACCCACCTACCCACCAACCCACTCACCAACACACCCACTCATTCACCAACACACCCACCTACCCACCCACTCACCCACCAACACACCAACCCACCCACCGACACACCCACTCACTCACCAACATACCCACTCATTAACATACCCACCTACCCATGAACCCACTCACCAACACACCCACCCATCAACATACCAACCCACCCACCAACACACTCACTCACCAACACACCCAACCACCCACCAATCCACTCACCAACACACCCACTCACTTACCAACACACCCACTCACCAACACACCCACCTACGCATGAACCCACTCACCAAAACACCAACCCACCAACACACCCACTCACTCACCAACACACCAACCCACAAATGCACCCATTCACCCACCAACCCACCCATCCACTCACCAACCCATTTATTCACCAACACGCCCACCAACCCAACCACCCACCAACCCACCCATCTGGCCCTAACCCTTCAGCCAATCCCCAACCAACCCACGTTTTTTTCCCCCGGCCTCTCTGTATGCCCTGCTCCAGCCAGTGCTCTTCTCTGCCACCTTCCTCTCACTGTTATGTAGTGGCTTTTGCTAAGATGCCCTGTTCTTACTCAGGCCCATGGGTCCCTGACAGCTAGACACGCCCAAACCAAACTCTCAAATTCAATGTGACCTCAGCCACACCTCTCACCTGCACTTCCAGTGTATGTGGCTGGTGGTCCTTGGCACGCTCTGGGATGCCAGCCAGGCCTCCTTCTCCCTCCATGCCTGGCAGTCAGGGTTGCAGGTGGTGGGTGTTGGCACATTTTCTGGATCAAAGGTCGAGTTTTCTCTGGTGGCAGTCAGCCAGGTGGGCCATCTGCTGGCTGCTGCTCCTCCCAAGGGGTATCTGGGACAGTTCAGGGTGGCCCTAGCCTGAGGAGCCCTTTCTGGGCATCCCATTGGGGACCAGGGTACTCAGTAGGACCTCTACAGCCAGTCCAAGTCACTGCTAGACCCAGTGCTACCGCAGGAGCTTTTCCTAAGCACATAGGTCAGCGCTGTTCCTGGAGCATGTGGCCTCCCCACAGCCATGAGGGCTAGTGGAAGGGCTAGGATTCCTGGCACCTGCTGGTGGCTTGGAGGAGGGGGAGAGGAGGCACCCCAGGCCTTTGGCCACACAAGCCCACACTAGGGCTGGCTTGAAAGTAGTTGGGAGGGGCCGTACCTGTCCTGGAGATGCCAGGGGCTCTGTGGGTCCCAGATGCCATGGTAGCTGTGGAGCAGGTGGCATAGGCCCTGGCTGCCCGGAGGACTATGGTGGGCCTCGTTTCCTCTCTGCTGTGTCATCCTCCTCTCTCAAGAAACCTTGGGTGAAGCCTCTGAGATGAGAAGACTTGAGGGGACAGTCGGGGTCTTCAAGGAGGGAGGGGCTCAATCCTGCTGAATGGGACTGGGGGAAGCCGAGCAGGGTAGTGCAAAGACCTCCCGTGCTCCCCTCCAGCTTCCCTGCCTTGCCCTCCCCACCCCAACTGTGCAGGTGGGATCTGGTCTTTATTGACAAAGGAAGAGACCGCCCCATGCCCTGGCCAAGGTCACTGCTCTCTGGTGCTGCTGGGGTGGAGGGCCCCCATGGCTGGATCCAAAGACCAGGAGCCTGGATCTGGGGCTCTCCTGCCTGTTGTTCACCTGGCACAGTTGTGGTCTGCCCCACCCTCTTACCCCAAGGCTTGGCCTCCTTCCAAGAGGAAGTAGGGGCCACTAAGTCCCAGGAAGCAGGTGTGTGCCGACTGCCACTCCGAGGCCCCCGCGGGGGTACAGAGATCCCTGCGTGGGAGGGAGGCTGTGATCTCGGGTACAAGGGGTTGAGGGACTAGACCTTTGATTGCCTGGCACAGTGCCTGAGGAGTGGGTGACTGGCATGCCCTTCTCTGCCCCCTGGCCGAGAGACCCATGTCCTGAGGTCCTGGTCCCTGCCGGAAGCACCTGTCTTTCCTGGAATGTGAGGTCCCTTGGAAGTGTCCAGTGTCCAGCCCCCACCCTGGCCATGGCCTCCCCCAGGGGTGGGAGGAACTAGGTGCCCCACCAGCAGCCCGGGGAGCCCTTCACACACATGCATGCATGAATGTTTTCATTTGCTCATGACTGGAAGCTCAGGGAGTGGCCCGCATGCCACGCCCAGCCAGGTCACCCGCATCCTTGGGTCTCTTATCTGGAGCAGTGGAATGATGCTGGGCAAATGTGTGTGTGCATGGGTATATGTGTGTATATGTAAGCATGTGTGTGTGTGTGTGCATGTGTGCAAGCTTGGGCAGCGAGAGGGGCAGGGCAGAATGCAGATGGGGTGTTGCTCCTTCCGGTCGCAGTGGTCAGAATTTCCTGTCAGTTGCTGCTGGCCTGGTGGCTTCCAGCAACATGTTGCGATCTTACAGTTCCAGGCATCACAGCCGGATGGAGTTGTGATGTGGTCAAGGTCATTGGAACTGGGCCCTTCCAGAAGCCCTGGGGGAGAATGCTTCCCTATCAGCCTCTGCCGGGTCAGGCCCAGAAAGTGTTCTGTCCGGTTTTGTGACCTCCTCCTGTGTCCCTCTCCTGGGGACTCTGCTGCTGACACGGGGGGGCCTGCATCCCAGTCTCTGAGCTCGGGCATTCTTCCTCCTGGGACTACAGATGAGGGGATAGGGCGTGGCCGTCTCTGAGTGCCTGAGTCCCTTTCCAGGGAACTGACTCAGTGCCCACCTGCCCGGGAGCTTCTCTAGAGGCTGGGAGTGTTTCTAGGGCCCAGCTGGGTGCCTGGCCAGGTCCCCTCCTCCTGCTCAGGCCCAGCCCAGTGCTTGGTGGCTGCTCAGTACTGACACTGCGGCGATGTCCACCACTTTCTGACAGCCTGGCTCCCAGCCCCGCCTCTGCTGCTTCCTTATGTCAGCGCACCTGCCCTGCTGGCCTGGGCAACTTTGTACCTTATCACCAGCATTCTCTGGTGAGCTCAGCAATGTGGCTTTCAGGGCAATGTCAGCTGTGATGTGTGTTTCTAATCTTTGTCCATCCTTGGGTGCTGGGATACATGTGGAGTGCAACTTACCACTTTTCTATTTATTTTTTTTAATATTTGCTTTATTTATTTCACAGTGTGACATAGAGACAGAGAGACAGAGACCTCCCACCTGCTAGTTTACTCCCCAAATGGCTCCCATGGCTGCGGATGGGCCAGACTGAAGCCCAGGACCCAGGCGTTCCATTTGGTTCTCCCCTTTGGGTGGCAGGGGCCCAAGGACTTGAGCCATTGGGTGCTTCCTTCCGAGTGCAGTAGCAGGAGCTGGATCAGTGGTGGAGCAGCTGGGACTGGAATTCATGCCCTCCTGTGAGACGCTGGTGTTGTAAGAGGTGGCTTAACCTGTTGTGCCACCATGCTGGTCCCATGTTTACTGTCTTGCAGTGTGCAGTTGGCTGGCATTCATTCAGGAGAATCACCATGTTCTGTCCCCAAACAGAAGCTCCTTGCCAGCCTGCTTGCTCTGCCCTGCCTCTGTCCATGGATTTGGCAATGCTTGATGTTCCGTACACAGGCATTTGCTCTGTGCCAGGGAGGGAGTGTGGCCTCTGCTTGTCATGGTTGCCCTCCTGCCTCCCGGCTGGCAGCGCATCCACTTTTCCTGTAAGCTGGCATTCACTTCTATGCTGTGCCTTTCTCCATGGGAGGCTTCCTTAGTGAACTGGGACCAAAGGGTTCTAGAAGGTTCTGTGGAGCTTGAGGCCCAGCCCCAAATGCAGCAGCCCAGGGTTGGGCTTGAAGCATCTGGAATGGTGCCTGTGGGCCAGGAAGGGCCTTGGAGCCCTGTCCTCCCTACAGAGGAGAGAGGCTCACCAGGACATTGCCCACTTGGTTCAAGGCACAAGCATGGAGCTGCATGCAGGGAGCAGAGAACAGGGCTCTGGTCAGGGAGGCCGTGCTTTCCCATGCAGTGCTGCGGTTAGAGGCCCAGGAAATTAACTTCCCTCCCAGCCTCCCTTCCCCCAAGGTGGGTGCTTGGCAGTGCTCAGTTGAGCTGGTCACTTGCCTACTGCATGCCTTTCTCGGATGGACACACTGTGTCATCTGGGTCACTGGAGGCCTGCAGACACGTGGTGGGCCAGTGTGGCAGGAGGAGGTGGCCTTGGGTGTGGGTGGGGCTGCCTGAGCCTCCCTCCTTCCTGTGTGCAGGGGCAAGTGGGAGAGCCCAGGCCACTGGGAGAGAGCGGGGTGGGTCACTGTGTTGCTCCCAGGGCACCAGCGGGGGGCGGGCAGGTGGGGGATGCACAGAGGGGCCTCGCAGGCCCCCACTCCTCTGGGTGTAGTGGGGCGGGGGAGCCGGCACCTGCCCCTGCTCCACCGGCTCTCTGGCCACTCCTCTGGGGGGAGGCCTCGGCTTGGCCACCTCCTATTCACGTTGTTTTTTCCTTTTCTGTAAAACAAAATACAGAGAACAAAAGAAACCCTAACAAATGCATTCAGCACGGTTTAGCCCATTTCCTGCAGGTTTTGTTTGTTTTAAGAACTAAAAGCCCTTTCGGGCATGCCTGAGGACCCCTCCTAAACCCTCCTGGGCTGTTCCTGCTGCCCCCAGCAGCCAGTCATTGGGGGTGTCCAGATGGTGGAGCCACCTTCTGAACCTCTGCTGATGCACAGCAGGAGCCTGTTGCCTTCGCGCGGCCAGGCTAGGCAGGGATGGAGTTCAAGTCCACACTGCTGTCCAGGGGACTTCAAAGTCAAGGAAGCACAAGGGTGGGGTGGGGGTTGCCCTCCAGATGGGTCACCCCGCCTCAGGCATCTCCCCTTGTCCTTCCCACAGCCAAGTACCCGGCCATTAAGGCCCTGATGAGGCCAGATCCCCACCTCAAGTGGACAGTGCTGGGGATGGTCCTGGTGCAGCTGCTGGCCTGCTGGCTGGTGCGGGGACTGGCCTGGCGCTGGCTTCTCTTCTGGGCCTACACCTTTGGTGGCTGCGTGAACCACTCGCTCACACTGGCCATCCACGACATCTCGCACAACACAGCCTTCGGCACGGGCGCCGCTGCTCACAATCGCTGGTTTGCTGTCTTCGCCAACCTGCCCATCGGCGTGCCCTACTCGGCCTCCTTCAAGAAGTACCACGTGGACCATCACCGTTACCTGGGGGGTGACGGGCTGGACGTGGATGTGCCCACACGCCTGGAAGCCCGGCTCTTCTGCACGCCGGCCCGCAAGCTGCTCTGGCTGCTGCTGCAGCCCCTGTTCTACTCGCTGCGGCCACTCTGCGTGCACCCCAAGGCCATGACACGCATGGAGGTGTTCAATGCGCTGGTGCAGTTGGCCGTGGACGCCGCCATCCTTGCCCTCTGGGGTGTCAAGCCCATGGCCTACCTGCTAGCCAGCACCTTCCTGGGCCTGGGCCTGCACCCCATCTCAGGTCACTTCGTGGCGGAACACTACATGTTCCTCAAGGGCCACGAGACCTACTCGTACTACGGGCCCCTCAACTGCATCACCTTCAACGTGGGCTACCACATGGAGCATCACGACTTCCCCAGCATCCCCGGCTGCTACCTGCCCCTGGTACGTGCTTTCCTCTGTGTGTGTGTGTGTGTGTGTGGTCTCAGGCCACACTCGGGCTGCCTGAGGTCCTGGCAGGGAAGGCCTCAGGCAATGGCTCAGCTGGGGAGTGAGCACACAGATCAGTCTCTTCCCAGCTTGTGCCATGTGGGTTAAGAAAAGTGATGGGATTCAGCTGCACCATTGCTGGCTGTGTGTCCCTGGGCTGGCTGCTCACCTTCTCTGTGCCCGCTGTGACAGCATTGGTGCCAGTGCCGTGAAGGACTCTCTTGCCCCTCTGCCTCTTAGTGTCTGGGGTCAGGGGCCTCTTCCTGGCCACCCCTACCCGGATCCTCCACCTGTGAAGCCAGTGCCGTGTTTCTTGTTTTACCCATCTCACAGCTGCAAGGGCTGAGGCTCACAGAGGCTGCAATAGGCAGGGCCTGAGTCAGGGCCCTGCTGTCCTGAGCCCACTGCCCTAGCAGCCCCTAGCAGCGCCCTCCACGGCAGCCAGAGAGCGTCCTCAGGATGGGGCTGTGGTGGTGCTGCAGCAGCAGAGGCCAGGAGTGCCTCCTCAAGGAGGTGGGCGGGTGGGCATGTGTTAAGTGTGGTGTGTGTATGTGTGTGTGTCCACTGCATGTGCCCAGCGGTCCCCAGGAACACAGATGTGCCCACAGGCAGGCCCCGGTGAGCACCCTGTCCCATGCGCATGTGTGTCCTGACATGGCCCTCTCCACAGGTGCGGAAGATCGCGCCCGAGTACTACGACCACCTGCCGCAGCACTACTCGTGGGTGAAGGTGCTCTGGGACTTTGTGATGGAGGACTCCCTGGGGCCCTATGCCAGGGTGAAGCGGGTATGCAAGCTGGCAGAGGACCCCGCCTCCTCCCAGAGGGCTTCGTCCTGAGCAGACCCTGGGCTGCTCCTGCCCCACGCACTGCTGGCTGCCGCCTCGTGCCCCACAGCCCCAGCCCAGGGTGAGCTGCATCAGAACCCCACCCTGGGGGGCTGCTTCGGTCCCCCACGGAGCCCTGCAGGCAGCACCTGAAGAGGACCCTCTGCACGGAGACTCTCGGCAGCTTCCTGGGCCTGGCGAGGTGAGGCTCACCCCATGCTGCCCTGCCTGCTCTGTGCCCATGGTCTCCATGGAGCTGACTTCTCAGCTGTTCCCATGCCGTAAATTAAACCCAGTGTTTGTTTTCACTGCGCACAGATTGCGCCCCCGAGGGTGTGGACTGGATCTGAGCCTGGGCCCGCAGGGGCAGACCCCAGGTGCCGGCAGGTGGAGGCCAAGGTCTCCACTCTGATTCCTAAGGAGGGGGCAACTACAGACTGGATGGTGTGTCCCCAGGGCCTGTCACTGTGGGGGATGAGGGTGGCCTCCAGGCTGTGGCAGTTGAGGCCTCTGCATGTCTGAGGGTCCCATCAGCAGCTGCTCCTTGTCCTGGTTGAGCCCTGCACCCCACCTGATCCTGCCACCTTCACCTGTACCTGCCTAGCTTCCACTTGTACCACCGGTGAAGCCTATTCCAGGCTAAGGAGCAGGTCTGAAAGTGTGGGCACTGTCCCCTCAACCAGTTTGGAGGGACAGGCACCAAGGAAAGCAAGCTGGTTGTGTGCTGGGGGCATAGGCGAGACCTAGTCCAGGGCTGGCCAGGGCCCTGAGGCCAGGGGTTGGGATGGAGGAGGCTCTGTGGTCTGAGCAGGTGGCAGCCAGGCGCAGGGTAGGGCCAAGGACCACTCCCCACAGGCTGGGTGGTGGAGGCCCATCTCTGCTAGCCATGGAGCCAGGCACCACAGTCCCTAGGGGATGTGATGGACACAATACGTAGGCCCCGGGGCTTGTTCTGCCCACAAGGACTTTGAGCTTGGGCACACCCCTGCCTGTGCACACAGGCCTGCCTAGGGGACTGGGGAAGTTCAGGGCCCTGCCCTGCTGCAGCTGCAACTCGGGGCCACATTCAAGCCTCGCCCAGCTGCCAACCAGGCCTCGGATTCTGACTGGGCCTTTCTGCGAGGTACCCAGGGCCATCACACACTCTCTGGTGGCACCTGATGGTCCAGCCCCCACACTGAGCCCTTAGGACTCTGGGACCAGGAAGGCAGTTGGCAGGCACGGAGAGAAGCTTTCAGTTAGGGGTGTGTGGGCCTTGGGTTGCAGCTGCCCCCATCCCAGGCTGGATCACCTGGAGAGCCTAGTGGCATGGGCAGGACAACCGCTCAGGACATCCGGGGACTCTGAGGACCAGGGCAGAGACCAGTGCCTCTGTAGAGGAGAGCCACACCTCAACCCCTCCCCCAGTCCCAGAAGGTGGCTGTCACACCATGCTGTGGCTCACATGGCAAAGCGAAAGGCCAAGGCACCTGAGGTCTGGCTGGGGCTGTGCAGCTGGCTCTGGGGACCGCAGTCCCTGAGGCCAGGGTCAGACCCTTCTTCTGGCCTCAATGGGGAATGCACATGTCCGTTCGAGGCCCATGTGGCCACTAGGTAAGGATGTGGGTCTGACCACCACAGGCCAGAGAGAGCAGCAGAGATGAAACAGGCAGCCCCAGCTCCCTGCTGCTCCACCAGGACAGGTGCAGGGAGGGAGCTGCTCCAGGGACCCAGCTGCTCCAGGACACTGGCTGGAGAGGCTGCATTGTCCCCCAAAGCCCATCCCATGCCCGTCCCTCCTGGTCAGAGCAGAGCTGGCACCAGATGCAGCTGTGGGAGATGGAGCCGAGCCAGCAGTGTAGACAGTGAGTTTATTAACGTGAGCACAGACACTGGTGTATGGACAGACCGTTTCAACACCATGATGGTCGGGAACACAGAGGCGCTGAACCGGCTCTGCCGGCCAGGGGCGCTGAGGGCACCCCCAATGAGAGGACTCGGAAACCATCTAATGAAGCAGGTGATTGAGGGGTGTCTTGTCTATAAACCGAAAGGAACGTACACTTAAATAAGCAAATAGAAAGTACAAAAAGGACAAGTGGCCTGGGGCTCTGCTGACCGGAGCAGGCAGTTCAGTGGCTGCCCCGTGGTCTGGGGGCGGCAGAGTCGACCCAGCCGGAGACTCCCACGGGGTTCCCCTGGCGTGCCCGCCGTCTCAGCGCCACGCTGCTGCCGCCTCACGTGGTGCTGATCCCGCTTAGCTCCTGCCTGATGGCTGCAGACAGAACAGGGATTTAGGACTCAGAGGGTGTGGCCCAGGCCTGGTCTTGCCTGCAAGGGACCCATGTCCCTGGGGTCTACCCCATCCTGGCTCCCCCCAAGGTCATAGGCACAGCTGGGGGAGGATGGCGTGTATAGTAGCTTTGGTATGACCTTGGGGGTGGCGACACAGCAGCCTCATGATGCCCTAGGGATGCGGAGTTGGTCGGCGAGTTGCTGGGCCTCAGAGCTGTCCACAGAGTGTGGGCATGGGGACCCTGCTCCGTGCTGCCACTGAGCCCCCGGGTCTTGGTTTAAGTTTAGGCTGGTGGGGGTCCAGGTTTGTTGGGAGGATGTGGGGGCTCTGCCCGCAGGGTTGCAACTTACCTCTCCCAGCTCTCGGTCCCCACCAGGAAGGCAAGCCTGTCTGGCTCCCACCCTTGGCTCTTGCCAGCTTGGGACTTCCTGCCTCCCTTTTAGTTCCACCTTCTCTTTCCAACCCGCTCCACACCTGCAGGGTCTTCCCTCCAGGCAGCCCTGGTCCATGCCAGCTACAGAAGGGCCACCTCCTGAGTACTGAGGGTGACTCACTGGGCAGCACTGCCCCTGGCTCACACAAGACTTTCCAGGGTAGCTGTAGGTAGGTAGGCTGTGTCCAGGAGCCCAGTACACAGGTTGGCCTGCAGCCTTGCACCAGCTCTGGGCTGAGAGTTACTCTGTGGGGACTCCAGCTACCCAGCTCTGTCCTAGCCCCTCCTCCTTCTGCCAAGGCCCCATGCCCTGGGCCCCCTGCCCTCAGCCTCTGCCCTTTGGAGCCCCTGGGTCCTTCATCTGCTCAGATCACAGCTGACGTCTGGGGCCAGAGCAAGTCAGCAGGGAGACTTGACTGCCTGGGTAACAGGTCCAGGCTGTGCCCTTCTTCCCCTGCAACCCTGGTGGGAGCCAGAATCGCTTTCTGGAGTTCTTCCTGAGGCACCTTTGGGAGGGCACCATGTCTGGTCCCCGGGCCAAAGCCAGACGTGCCAGGCAGCAGCCCAGGGAAAGCAGAGTGGTAGTGGTGTCTGTGCCCCTGGAGCCCTGTCCCCCTCCGGGCCCAGCCGGGACAGCAGATGGCCCCAAGCTGATCCTTGGGCCTTCCCTGCAGTGGGCCAAGCCTGCACGATACCCAGGGAGTGGAGCTTCAGCAGCAGAGGTGCCCACACCACTGGGGGTTACTTGGGACAACTCTCCGGCCTCCAGTGGCTCAGCCAGAACCTTGGGGGCTGGCGGGCATGGAGCTCTCCCAGGCACAGCCCCAGGCCTGGCTCAAACCGTAGCTCCCTAGGGCTAGCACTCCCTTGCAGTGCTGGTATATCAGTTCAAATCCCCACTGCTCCACATCTGATTTAGCTTCCTGCTAACACGCCTGGGAAAGTAACTGGAAGAAGGCTGGCATGATGGCTCAATTGGCTAGCCTGCCTGTAGGTGCTGGCATTCCATATGGGCTCCACTTGCATCCTGGCTGCTCCATTTCCTATCCGGCCCCCTGCTTGTGTCCTGGGAAAGCAGAAGATGGCTCAAAGCTTTGGGACCCTGTACTCGCATGGGAGACCTGGAGGAAGTTCCTGGCTTCTGGTTTCAGATCTGCTCAGCTCTGGTTGCTGCATCCATTTGGGAGTGAGCCAGTGGATGGAACGTCTGTCTCTCTGCTTTTCCTTTCCAATATAATAAGTAAAATCTCAAAGAAAGAAAAGAAAGAAAAGGAAGGAAGGAAGGAAGAAAGAAAGAAAAAGGGAAAGAAGGAAAGAAAGAAGGAAAGCAAGCAAGCAAGCAAGCCACAGGAGACAGCCCAAGTGCTTGGGCTCCTGTGTCTGAGTGGGAGACCTGGCTGAAGTGCCAGGCTCCAGGATGGTCAAGCCCTGGCTGTTGTGGCCACTTGGGGAGGGAACCAGCAGATGGAAGAGTTCTCTCTCTGTGTAACTCTGCTTTTCAAATACATACATAAATAAAACATTTTGTTCATAGGAAAACTGTGGGCCCTGATTCTGAGGGCCAGCCTGGCCAAGTCTCCGTGCCGAGCCCTGTCCTCCCATGGGGACCGCATGCTGGCCCTGCCCGCCGGGCACCCACTCACCATCAATAATCTCTTCCTTCACCTTGTGCAGCTCACGCACCACCTCCTCCAGGATCTCCTGTGGGCAGACGAAGGTGGGGGTGGCGATGCAGGTGGACGGAGACACGGGCGGGGAGAGAGGGCAGCAGGGAGAGAAACAGATGAGGGAAGAGGCGCAGGCAGGGGCAGAGGTGGCTCCAGGATGCTGTGGCGTGCAGACCCGCACGCTGGGGAAGTGAGTGCGGCTTCTCCCCTTCGGGTCCACAGTGGTCCTACCACGGTTGCTCAAGGGGAATGCACGAAAGCAGACTACAGAGAGTGCCAGCTAGGTGGGAGGGCGGCAGGATGGGCCCCCTGTGTCTCCTCGGACAGCTTGCCGGCTGCCTGTGGGCCCGCTGGCCATGCTGAACAAGTGGACCCGCTCACCTGCTTCATCCGGTCCAGATCTAAGGCGTCCAGGGCCACGTCATTCACGCTGCCTGCAGGCTTCATCCTGGGGAGGAAGGCAGGGTGTGGGAGAGTGGAAGGCAGGGCCCAGGGTGTCCTCTCCCCGGGACTGGGGCCAGACCCCCTGCCCTGCTTTTACCTCCAGTCACCTCTCCCAGCTGAGCCCCAAGAGTGCCTCCTGGACCCCATGCTCCTGCTCCCAGCCTGAGTCAGGACTGGGGCCTGCAGAGGAGCTGGTCTGGGATGAGTTGGGAGGGGTCAGGCAGAGGTGTCACTGCCTCCAGCTTGCCAGAGAGGGACACGAGCTTGGTCACGTGCTCTGCTCCTGGTCACCCTGGGAAAGCCTGTGGCAGTAGCGCAGGCAGCACGCCTGCCACCCCAGCAAGACCCTGTTCCCTGTGCTGGGGCTGGCTAGGGTGTGCGGCACCCTTGGACGCCCTCTGCTCTGCCAAGATGCTTTCTGGGGACTGTGCCCCTGTGGGATGGTGTGGAATGGACACTGAGTGACTTGTTTCAGTAGTCTCATGGGGGCAAAGTCCTGGTGGTGCTCATGTTCTAGGTGGGTGTGACCATGCACTGAGGGAAACATGGGAACGGGTCATGTCCTGCCTTGGTCCAGCCAGGTGAGGAGGTGGTGGCTGGCAGCTGGCAAGTGCACTGGCATGGCAGGGCCAGCCCTGGCCAGCCGATAAGATGGAGGACTGACGCTGTCTGCAGCTACAGGAGCCAGGACGGAAAAGGAGTGTGGCCATGTCCTATCTGCACGGACTCCAGGCAGAGGCCAGCAAACAGGCCTGGCAGGAGGTTACTACTGGGCTCCCCAGACCTCCCCTGCTGGCTCCAGCCCCGCTGTGGCAGTGGCTGTTGGGTACCTGGGTCACCCACTCCTGCTGTCCAGGACTCAGAGCTGCCCCCTGCACAGCAGAGCACAACATGGGGGAGACCCCATGCCAAGTGGGAATGGCCTCCACAGCATCCTCTGGCTGGCGGACACCTGGCCACAGATCCTTAATCCACCTGCCCCGGCTGCCTGACCTGTGCCAGGCCCTGCTGGGAATTTGCCCCACTGGCACGCCTGGAGCCTCTCATGTCCCTTCCACTTCCATGCTCCTAGCAGCACTTCCTGCTCACTGGTCGTCCACCTTGCAGCGTGGAACCAGGGCCTGGGTTTAGCCTTCTTCCTCCTGGAAGTGGCCCCTGTGATCTGTGCAGTCGACCTTGCCCTGCCTCCCCAAAGCACCTTGTCCCTGTCACTGTGTGAACACAGGACCGTTGCCAGCACAGAACCTGCCTGTCTGCCCAGACCTCCTCTGCCTGCAGCTACAGCCTTCCCTGCTCTGCTCGTCAACCTATCTCACTGTGCATGGGGTTTCCGATGTCACCTGCTCTGTGACAATGGCCGTCCCCTCTGAACTGTGCTGGGCGGTGGTAGTGATTCCATGGTTATCGCAGGGCTGACTGGCTGTCCCATGGGCCTTTGGTTTGGGAAATGTGGTTGGTGTGCTTGTTGGGGTTGGGCCTTGTGCTGGACACATGCTGGGACCTGGGCAGCCTGGGCCCAGGAAGCCATTGCAGGGTGGCCAGGGCTTGTGGCACTTGCTGTGTCCACTGCTGTCCTTCACCCTGCCGTCGCCATCCCTGCCCGGTGCAGCTGGGACTCAGACCTCACTGTGTGGGTGACAGTGGAGCTTGGTCAGGTTGTCTCATCTGCCCTGCTTCCTGCTGGGGCTTCCTCTCTGGGGCAGGTCACGTCCTCCATCCGCAGCACCCCCTTGGAGCTGCCCGCACCCGACTCCCCACGCCTGCCCACTCTGCAAGAACAGACCACCCTTCCCAAGCAAGCTGTTAGATGCCAGGACGGAGACGGAGCTCAGGGGTGTTAGTCACGGGATGTGTGGGTGGGAGGGTTGTCCGGTACCTAGAGTGAGGCTGCGCCTGAAGGGGACTCTTAGCTTCAGGGCTCTTGGCCACAGACGGGGTTCTACGGCAACGGAATGAGAGATGGGTGAACCGGCGCGCGCCCGCAGGGCCCAGGGCTGCGCGCCGACCTCCCCTGGCAGCTCACCTGGACAGGAGCGAGGACACGGGCTTCTCCACTGAGTTACTCCGTTCCCAGGGCTTCCTGCTCGCCTCTGTCAACCAGGAGGATGAGGACGCTCAGAGCTGGGAGGACACAGCTCCACTCCACAGGTTGTCACCCTGTCTCCCTTACTCCGGTGCCTTGGTTTCAAGCTTGGTCACCAGGGCTGGGCAATGCTCTGAACCAGCAGCAGTCTGTCCAGTCACCAGGAGAGCCTGACGTGCCTGGCTGTGGGGGACAGCTAACCCCATTTGCATGGCATCACCTGCCACTCCTTTGGCTGTCTCCCACGCTGTGCCTCCTCTGCCCCTTGCCAGGCTGCAAAGCTGGTTTGCATCCCACCCCACACCCCAATATTTAGGAATTGACTTGAAAGGTGCAGAGAGAGAGAGAGAGAGAGAGAGACATACATGCAGTCTTCTATCTACTGGTTCATGCCCCAAATGCCTTCAAAATGTGGGGTAGGGGGCAAGTGTGGTGGTATGGCACATTAAGCCTCTGTCTGTGGCTCTGGGCAACCCATATGGGTACCTGTTCAAGTCCTGGTTGCTCCATTTCCCATCCAGCTCCCTGCTTGTGGCCTGAGAAAGCAGTGGAAGATGGCCTAAATCCTTGGTTCCCAGCACGCATGCAGGAGACCTGCGAGAAGCTCCTGGCTTTGGAGGGTCTCAGCCATATGACCATCTGGGCCAGGTCGAGGCCAGAAACCCAGACCTCCATCTGAGTCTCGTGTGGGCAGCAGAGGCCCAAGCACTTCAGTGGTCTTCTGCTGGCTCCCAAAACTCATGAACAGGAAGCTGGGTTGGAATGGGAGGAGCCAGAGGTTGACCCAGCATCCCGCTATGGGATGCTAGCCCACTGTGCCACCACGCTAGCCGCTGCTTCCAGAAGTGTGTAGAACTGGACTCTCCAACTTTGCAGGATGAATACAGGTGGGAACAGAGTGCTGAGGCAGTGGGGAGTACCGGGACCCTGCAGCTGGGAGCAGGTCCTGGGTGCACAACTCACTCAACCACATGGAACCCTGCCTGCCCATACCAGAAAGCCATTTAACCCATGCACGGGGCTATTCTAACATGCCAGGAAAGGTGTGGACACTGTTTCCAGTTGTTGGCCATGAACCTGTGGCTCTCAGCTAATCACCTCCTCTGGGAAGGCCCACCAAGAGGCAGCTGTGCCACCAAAGGGTGGGCAGGTGGGTTGAGCAGGGGGCAGGCTTCCCTCAGCCTGGCACAGGCCAGATGCTGGACCTGGTTCTGTCAGACGACTCAACCACCAGCCCACAGGAAGCTGCCTCCCGCTGTTGTCATCACACATCCTCAGGCCCAGCTCAGACTGGGAGCGACTCGAGCAGCGGAGGGACTGGCATTATCTGTAGCGTCCATTGTCCAGCCGGCCAGCAGCTGGGAGCTAAGGCTCCTCTGAGGAACACGGGCTGCAGCCTGGGTCTGAGCTGTCAGGGACAGCAGCCTCCCTCAGCTGGGACTCGGGTCCAGGGCACACGAGCGCCGGCCTGCCCAGCTGGGACACCGCCACAGGCAGATGCCGCCTGGCAGGAATTGGCAGGAGCCGGGCTTCCCAGCTCTCCACACCTAGGGATGGTGCTGAGCCAGCTGGCCTGCTTCCAGGAGTCCCTCCCACCCACGCTCTGGCCTGGGGCAAGGCTGGGGTCAGTGGGGGGTGCCCGCTTACCTGAGGAGTTGGACGGCTGGCTGGATGCTCGGGTCCCCAGAGATGGGGAGCTACTTGGATCTTCCTATGGGGCAAGACAAGAAAGGCCCTTCCATTAGTGTGCTGGCAAGCTGTGTGGGTTGGGTGGGTACTGGACGGTCTGACCTTGAAGGGCTCGTGCTTTTATAGCTGGTCAAAGAGCAAGCGCAAGGAGGACCCTGAGCTGGAGCAGAGCTGCTCTGACCAGGGCAGGGCGGGCCCTCACCAGCCAGCACTGGCTGGCCGCCTCACATGCACCTGCTGCTGACCTCTGGCCAGCGCTGTGTGCAGTGACCCACTCCTGCACATGCGCTGCTCATAGCAGCTCTGTCCCCTGCCCCTCCTGACCCCTCTGGCTCTGGAGCCTGTGCTGGCGACTTGTTGTTTCTGGGACCTGGCTCACTCCTGGGGGCGCGAGGCAGGATCACTGCTCCACTGGCTGCTGTGGCTGTGGTTGGCCTTGTGCTGTGTGTCATGGGACCAGCGAGGGCTGCAGAAATCCAGCGGCAGAGACACAGCCGACCTCTAGGGCCCTGCTCATGGGAGATGACTGGTTCTCTTGCCAGAAGACACGGTCAGGGTCTCTTCTCATCTGCCTCTCTCCAGGCCACCTCCAGGCTCAACAATGTGGCGGTGACCATGCTCTGAAGGGGCCTGGAACCTGTGGAGGAGGCTTGCCAGGGACAGGTGCAGCTCTGGTGGTATGGTCTGGCCACCCCTACTTGATCTGCTCCCCTCCCCAGCTTCTTGCTCTTTCGGCTTCTTTGTTACTGCAGGCCCAGTAGGTTCTGCGCTTGCTCCTGCCCTAGCCCCGCTAACCCAGCTCCTTCTCCAAGGCTCCTGGCAGCCCACACCAGCCTCCTCCTCCTGGCATCGGGGCTGCTCCCCTGGATGCCACAGCCAGACTGTCTCCTCAACAGGCTGAAAATTCTCTCCAGGACAGAGGCTCTATGTCCCGTGGACCCTGGCCGCCCTGCACTGAGGCTCAAGTGATGGCTGGGGATTGCCCAACGGGATGGGAGCACGTGTCCTGGGCAGACGTCATATGAATGCTCTCAGCCGGGCAGCCTCCGGGGACCACGCGGGAGCCCCAATGCAGCACAGACACTCATGGCCGCGCTGTCACTGGCTGGCCATCTACGTGTGGGGCAGGGAATTCTGGGAGACTCTGGTCCAGGTACACAAGAACAGGCTGGGAGCAGTCTCGCCAGGCAGACAGGAAGGAACAAGTATGCTGGAAGTCAGCGTGCTGGCCTGGTGCCCTGCGGCTGATAAACACGCAAGGACAAGAGCTGCTCCGGGTGGAATCCATCAGCGGCAACTCTGAGCTAGCACAGTGCTGAGAGACAGGCAGAGACATGCGGCTCTTCCCTGCCGGAAAGGGAGGCAGCCATGACGGCTGCTGTGGGCCTGTTGTGTGTGGGCAGCAGGACCAGTCCTTAGCATGATGACGCAACCGGCCCCTGGCCAGCAGGTGGCTCTCGAGGCACCTGGCTCTTAACACTTTTTCCCCATTCACCAGAACCCCAGCAGTGCTCACTGAAGAGTTAGAAAAGATCGAAAGGCCCCAAAAGGAAAGTAAAGTGCCTGCCAGTGTTTCTCCCAGAGGTTGCTCTGGGTGCAGACTGTCTCAGGTACCAGAAGGAGCCTGGACAAACAGGAGCTCCCGGGGATTGGGCCTCTGTGAACACATTCACTCCTGGAGTGCAAAGAGCCAGGCAGATGCTGGGAAGCCCTGGAAGCCGCCCACAAAGCTTGGAGTGAAGTCCAGGGCACAAAGCTGCACTGAAGGCAGCCGGGCCCTGCCAGCTTCATGACCCGGGCACAGAGAGCGCATGTGCAGGCAGACACACTGCATGAAGCCCAGGCCTGCGATGCTGCTGTGTCTGGAGCAGGGCTTATGCAGCTGTGTGCTGGGTGAGGAGGGACATAGCACACACCCGGGCTGGTAGATGCAGCTGTGTGGAGCAGGGCAGTGGGGTGGGCTGGAGTCCACAGGAAGCCCCAGCTGCCCCCTGCGTTGATGGGGAAGCTGAGGTAGCGAGTGTGCCCTGGCCCCCGGCAGCTGGGTTCCTTGTCCCTTAGTCTCCAAGGTGTAGCCTCTTACGAAGCCTGTGTGTAACACTGGGAGGGGCTCTGCTAATACAGGAAAAGCTTCACCTGCAGGAATCGGCTCTAGCAAGCTGCCGAGGCCAGGGGCTGGGCTCTGGGCTGCCCTGCAGGAGCCCAACAACCTGCTCCTGTCAGTTACTTGGGGAAGGAGCACCCCACAGTGTGTGCAGAAGGGGCACACCCTGCGCCTTTGAGGACCGGCTTGGGCCCCGGAGCCTTCGGCGTGATGTGCGGGTGCCAGTGGTGCCTGCCTACCGTCTGGCTCTCGTCCTCCCTTCTGTCCACGGGCTTGTCTGTCTGCGAGGCTGCTTTCCTCCTGCACACAGAGAAGAAGACACATCAGCCTGTGCAGGTGCCCACACTACCCAGGGCACCTCTGCTTCCAGTGTGCAAGCCCCGCCCAGTCCTCAGGTGAACTCACGTCACCTGTCTGGGTGAAGCAGGCAGCCTCGGCAGGCACCCCTGTGGCCAGGAGCCACACCGCGGTATCCTGGCTGTGAGCTGGAGCCTTCCCCACTGCCGCGTTAAGGCAGACCCCTCTTCCTGCCCGTGCCAGATCACGGGCCAGTTCACGGCCAGGACACTACCTCACGCTCTACTTCTGCATCCCATCGTCCCCTGTCATGGAGGCAGGAGTAGAGGCTGCGAGAAGCTGCATCTGGCATCGCCCAGCTGTGGTCACACTGGCCTCTTCCTGCTCTCCTGGAGCAGCTGCCTCTCAGTCTGGCCTCTGTCATCCAGGCCTAGCTCTCTCTGGTTTTAGACTTTGGGACCATAACCTTTCCCCAGGAACCTGTTTTCCTGTGAGTGCAGTTCGCCCGTCAGCGCTGCCACGAACCCACATCTGTGTGCAGCAAGGCCGTCTGTGTTTCCCAGTTCCTCTGTCCTAAGCTGGCTCTCCTGGCACAGGGGGGTTCTCGGGCTTCCCAGCTTCTTAAACCCCACTGGCTGCACCCCTGCGGCTCCTCCTCACCCTTCAAGACCCACTGCAGGGAGAACCTCCTTTGGGAAGCCTTCCTGGCTCTCTGTGAGCTGGCTGTGCCCACCTTTGTCCCACAGGCTGGCTCTGCATGCCTCCCTGGCGTCTGCTACTGCACCTAGGCCTTGGGGACTCAGCACATCTGTCTCACCACCTGCAGAAGTCATGCTAAGCTGTCCCTGCCACCTGAGGAAGTGGCCTTTAGCAGCAGACCTGGTCTGTCTCCGCCAGGTCAGCTGCCTGCCCTGGGTGGGCCTTCGTTCCTCACCGCGTCCTCACAGCGCAGCATGGGATGAGATGGGAGGGCACAGCGAGGGAAGGCACGAGTGATCAGGGCCTGTCATGCTCATCTGTGTGGGATCCTGGAAAGGAACAGCTGGAGCAATGTGCTCCCGTCCCTCTCGGGCTTAGTCGGCTGCGGCAGTGGGCACCTTGTCTCGGCACATCTGAAAACTGAAATCCAGGCTCTGTATTCCCTCCGCCACGGCTGCTCAGCTTCCTGTGGGCAGGTGATGGCCTGGGCAGGCGGGAGCCCCCTGCTGGCGCGGCTGGAGAAGGGCCTCGCCGGATAGGAGGGAGCCGCCACCCTCTGGGTTCCGGTCTGCCTCCTAGACCCTGTCGTGTCACCCACTGGGGACCCTCTGCAGGACTCCCACCTGCAGGCCCTGTCCACCTTTCCCTCGAACGCATCTCCAGGTGCCTCCTTCAGCATGGGGCGCTGCCTGTGGAAGCCCTCGTCAATACTTGCTGAGCCAAAACCGGGAGGGGTTAATGTGCAGGCCACTCCTTTAGGCATCATTCGTTAGGCTGACGCCCAAGGACACGCTGGTTGCAGTTCAGCTGCCTGAGCCCAGGTAGCAAAGGCTTCTGGGAGCACGAGGTCCTGCCAGGGGCCCTGGGAGCAGCGAGCCCGGGCAGATACAGGACCCACCTCTTGGCCAGCAGTTTGTTCATCTCCTCCATGAGGCCTCCGCCCCCACCCCCGCTGCTCGCCCGGTTGGCATCTGACTTGGAGGTTCCGCTGGGACTGGAGGCTCCAGGCACATCTTCTGGCTGAGGGCAGAGGTGCCAGGTGTTAGCGGGGTTGCCCAGGGCAGGGGAGTCAGTCGAGGGGAGTCAGGGGACCATATATGTGCCCAGGAATCCCACGATGGCTGAGCCACAAAAGGCCTCAGGATCCGACCCCATGGGGGACAAGACCTGGACCATGGTCATGACCAGCTGTGAGCAGATCTGTGGGGTGGGGGAGAGCTGCAGCACGGACTCCTCTCACACACAGCCATGAGTGGCTACGTTCAGAACACACTGGAGGGCCGGGAAGAAGTGCCTGGCTGCCCAGCCCCAGGTCCACACTGCCGCCCACCCCTGGCCGGCCAGGCCCTCTTACCCGCTGCACTCGCCTCAGCTTGGCCCCAGCCAGCGCAGCGGCCAGTCCCGATACAGAGCTCTCGTCGTGGCTGGCCCCCTGGGCTCCTCCGGCTGGCAGTGGGGGCGGGGGCGGTGGGGTGGCTCCAGTTGGGGGAGGTGGCACGGGTGGTGGGGGCGGGGGTGGAGGCCCGCTGCACGTGAGTGGGGCGCTGGCTGCAGATGATGGGTGCCCCGCTGGCAGAAGGGGCCCTGGAATAGAACAGGGCACTCCGTGGGTCTGCAGCTCCTAGCTGGGGCCCAGGCCCCGGGGTGGGGTGAGCTCTCTCTGCTGCAGTGTGTCCTGACTTGGACCTCCTTGGCTGGTGGATCCTGGAGGGACCCCCATGTCACACCCCTGCGGGGCACACACTGGGAACAGCAGCAGGCCCTGCCCTTGGGGCTCATGGCCTGGAGTGCAAACAGCCAGCAGGGCTGTGGCAAGCCACTGGCTGCAGGAGCTTCCAACTGCTGTGCTGGGCGGAAGCTCACTGAAACTTCCTGAGGACAGTGACCATGCAGGAGTCAGGTACAGGATGCAAGGGTGAGGAAGTGGATGCCAGAGGACTGGCGCGGTGGCCATGGCTGCAGCGAGGAGGAGCCGGTGGCTAGGAAGGTAACAGGAAGGCTGTCCCGACAGCGGGATCTGGCCTGCGCTGGAACACAGGGTGGACCTGAGGGGCAGGCCACGGGGGTCGGGATGCTAGCCACCTGCTTACCTCCTAGGGCAGTGGAAAGAATGACACCAAAGGGCAGGACAGCACTGGGGGAGCCACGACACCCCGCGCCTGCCCGTGACCGCTGTACCTTCCCCAGAAGCTTCGCCCTCTGTGCTATGGGCTAGCCCACCTCCCTGGAATGTCACCTCTGACCCCGGGGTGCAAGGGACCTCCCGTGGACACTGGCCACATCCTGGCCTGGACTTGACCTCCGAGTGTGACTCCTTACTGGACAACGGCAGAGCACCTGTGCCCGCCCTACCCCCAGTCCTTGGCTCTGTGGCGGAGACCCACTGGATGTCCACTGAGGACATGAGCACTGGGTGGCGGGTAGGAGTGACCTGCGGGGGCCAATGCCTCCTCCTGGGGGTGGATGCAGAGGGCAGTGGACACAGCAGCTGGGCAGGCGGGTACAGGGGGCAGTGGGCAAGGCACGTTGGCACTCACCTGCGGCCGATGCTCTCCTCTCCAGAGACTCCTGGCGGTGCTGGTGCTGTTCCATCACTTGCCTGCAAGGCAACGGGCAGCGGCATGCTCAGCGTCCCAGGGGCCACAGTGCACTGTGTCTCCCACCCTCCCTGAGAACCGCCACGCACCAGCTGTCTCCGCTTAACTGGAGGGGACACGGAAGGGTCGGGTTCCTGAACGGGGGTGGGGCACGGGCAAACTCCTGCCCGGGCAGGCTGTCTGCCACCTGGATCCATTCCCCCAGAGTGCCTGGGTTTTCCCTGGGCTGCGTGGGCTCACCTCGCCCAGCCTGGTCTCAGGGTACCTGGCCTTACTGTGCAGGTGAAACACACGTTAGGGACCAGGTGTTCTCCCTGGCAGAGCCTAGCACAGCCCCGCCCGGCTCCCACTGAAGCGGCTCTTTGGTGGGCTGTGTGGCAGGAGATACCCTGGCTCCGAGTGGCAGGATGCCAGAGGTTGCTCCGAAAGGCAGGCAGAGAACGCTGACCCACCAATCCGTCTACACAGTCCTGGCACATGGCGGGAGGAGATCCCGGGGCTGCCTGCATTGGGGGTGGCCATGTCTGGGAGAGGACAGTCAGCACGGCGGGGCCTGTGATAACCCGTGATGACCTCATGGGTCTCCAGGGCTGGACCCCGAGCCGGCCACACAGTGGGTGCTTGGCAAGTGCTGTGGGGAGACAGGTGTGTGCCTCACAAAGGCTCGGCCCGTCCGGCACCTGTTGCAGGGATCACGCTGTGGGGTCACAGGTGAGCCACTCCTTTGCTGGCCTCAGGACCCTGTCCGTGAGTTGCCAGGGGTTCCTGCGAGGAACAGCATGAATGAAAAGCTCCCGGTGGCTCTGGCATTGGCCTTTATCCTTCTCAGGCCGCAGCCTTTCCTATGAGGTATGTCCGCTTAGGAAGCCCCATGGGGCGGCCTGGTGGGGGGCTCACTCCCCTGTCCTCTGCCCTGCTCTGAGCGAAGGTCTCCTGTAGACCGGGTCGTGTTGGCCATCCCTGTTGTGCCATCATAGGTCCTTCCTCCGTGGGTGAGCCACTCCATCATCCGAGCTTCCGTAGCTCATGAGGGAGGCGGCAGCCATGTCAGCTCCGAAGGGCCAGCGTGAGGACCAGGATGTGACAGGATACGCTGGCTGCACGTGGGAACGGGCGAGTGCATTCCCACCCCTAGTGGAGTGTTCCCAACACAGAGCAGGGCCCCAGGGGTAGCGGGGGGCAAGGGTGGCAGGCACACTGCCTGCGTAACAAAGTGGAGGTCAGACATGGAGAAGTGGGGACACCCAGCCTGCCCACGTTCACGGCTCAGTGCTGGGCACAGAACACCTGCTCTGGCGGGCCTGGGTCTGCTCAGATCCTGGCACTGCTGGTCCCTGGTGATGCGGCCATGGGAAGGCTGCCCCTCGGGGAGGCCTTGGTGACCTCTAACAGCCCAGGCTCTCCCTCCCTCCCAGTGCCAACACTTCAGAACCTCCTATGGCCCAAGGGAGCGGCCTCCTGCCCAGGCTTCACCCCTCCTGGTAGTGGCTTCCTCCTAGCGACTGGGGACACAGGAAGCCTCCTCTTGGCTGCTGACCTCGGCCTCTGGGGACAGCACCACCTTGAATTCGCCTCCCTTCTGACCTACAGTGGGTGACGGGGGAGGGTACCTTCGCTGGATGTCCATCTCATCAGGAGAGGGGCCATTCTGCACCTGCCGCTGGGTGGAGGGGCCTGCAGGGCAGAGAAGCACAGGAGCCGGGAGGTTAGTGCGAGAAAAGTGGGGGCTGTGACAGACAGCGCCGACGGCCTCAACCCAGGGCTGCAGCGCCGACACTGGCGCTCCCACCAAGTCTCTCTCCTCTTTCGGCTCTTCCCCGAGCCAGTGAGCAGTCAACATGGTCACGTGGTGACAGGGCTGCCTGAAGGTTTCCTCTGTATCCCACGGCCAGCTCCTCTCACACCACCTGCTAAGTGCCACTTCCTTCCTTCCGTTTCATCGCTGTGGTGTCCAACTGAGACTGGCCTGAAGTGGGAGGCACCGAGCCCCACACTCGTCCTGCCAGCCCCGTGGGGGTCCCTGATGCCTCAGTCCCAGCTAGCTGCTGGCTGCCAGCTTGGCCCAGGCTTGGGCTGTAGCTCAGACAACCAGACTACTGCTTTGCTCTAGAAGTTGCTGTCAGTTGTTGAGCCCGCTCTTGAGTCTGGGTCCCACCTTCCCCCTGGGCCCGTACCCCATCCCTGTCTAGCCCGTCCTCTGAAGACAGCACTCGCAGAGGGCAGCCTTGCAATGCTGGGGCCCCGCTGGTGGCTGCAAAGTGCTTCTGCACCCACCAATCTGGCCAGGCCTCCTGCCCTCTGTCCAGGAGAGTCAGGTGCCCACATAGTGGACTGCTGTGCACATGCCTGTCCCTCTGTATAAGGAGGGGCTGGCATTGTGGCATAGAGGGTAAAGCCACCACCTGAGACACTGGCATACAAAATGAATGCAAGTTCATGTCCTGGTTACTCCACTTCCCATCCAGCTCCATGCTTATGGTCTGGAAAGCAGTGGAGGATGGCTCAAGTCCTTGGGTTCTTGCGCCCATGTGGGATATCTGGAAAAAGTCCCTGCTTCCAGCTGCAGCCTAGCTCTGGCCATTTCAGGCATTTGGGGAATGAACCAGTAGATGAGAAATGTGTCTGTCTCTTTCTCTCTCTGTAACTGTGACCGTCAAACATGCAATTTAAAAACAAAAAAGAGGGACATATAAAGACCTCAATATTAGTTGGAGTCTTAACCATTACAGAGAAGGGAAAGATCACAGTTGATTGCAAAAACCCTTTTGTTCCTCTTATTTTTAAGCAATTTAATTTCTTTGAAAGGCAGAGAACGGAAGCCCCCCTCCCCCGCCCCCTCCCCAGAAGCCTGCAGTAGCGGAGCCCGGGCCAGCCGAAGGCAGGGGCTGGGAATTTATTCTGGCCTTCCTGCACAGAAGCCAGGGACCCAAGCACCTGAGCCATGTGTCACCTACTGCTTCCTAGGAAGAGCCAGAACAAGGAGCTGGAGCTGGAGCTGGGGGTGGCACTGTGACCCCACTATGGACGTGGGCATTCCAGGCAAAGTCAACCATGGCGCCAAATACCCACCTTTCTGTTCTAGAATGGACAAAACATTAGGTTGCCGGAGCTACAAAGCCCTCCAGGTTGCGAAGCACAATCTCTTTATGCCAGGCATGGCGGCTGAGGGCACAGGGTCTGTGCGGTACCACCCTGGGCGTCTGTGTTGACATGAGAATCCCCTTGCTCCCCCACTTCTCCCCACAGCAGCCTGGCTGGTGACCTGTGGCAACCCCCAGTGACAGTGATCGCAGGTGTCCCTGTAGCGACAGGGGCTGTCTCCCATGGTGGGAGCTTCCTGGGCCCTGGTGCTGGTGCGTCAACTCCCACTTGCCCTGAGTCACGACCAGCAGCCAGGGTGGACAGGTATAGCCTGTTCCCTTCTCCGGAGCTGTGCCCGGAGCCCACAGGCTCTAGGGTGAGGGGCAAGACGGGGCCCCACCACTCATTCTCTGCCCCAGCCCCCCAATGGCACTGCCAGCCTCTCTGTCCACGCCCAGCTGCCTCCTGGACCCACACTCCCCCTTCCCTGTCTTCTCTGTCCATGCTGTAGCCCAAGTGATCTCTGGGAAACAGAATGGGTTCTTAAAGGGTCAGGCCCAAGCCCACGTGCTATAATGCAAGGCTCTCCAGTCCCGCCCCAGTCCGGCCCCAGAGTGCCTCTCCTCAATAGAGCCTTCTGCAATGCCAGCTGACCCCTGGCGTTGCTCTGCACTTCCCACTTCCACGGATCTTCGTGGTCACTGACTGCATCTGACTATCACCTCCTGCCACGGCTTCCTGGCCCCACTTCTTGGTTGCCTCTTCCCTAAGCCTCATGCCCCTCACTCCTGCCACAGGCTCTCAGGTGAAGCCCACAGCCACTCGCAGCTGTACCACAGCTCAAGCTTTGTGGAGCGGCGAAGGACGTCGTTGTGGGCAAAGCCTGGCCACTGTAGGTATGCTGCACGTGATGGTGGAGACTCCTAAGCACTGGGGGAAAAGCCCAGGAGACAGAGCTGGGCTGAGCTGGCCCAGGAGGCCATCAAGACAGGTTGAAGGGTGCGCCCAGAAACACCAGGCCCGGTAGGTGCTGTGGACGGCAGCAGGGCTAAGGGCGCGGACCCGGAGCAGGCGACCTGAGGTTCCACCCTCCTGGGAGGACAGGGCAAATGCAGCCTGCTCCTGCCTGTCCACCTTGCACTGCCTTCCAGCGCTCTGAGTTGATTCATTTACCATCTCTGTTCAGAACAAACTGGGCTCAGGGATACCAGGACAGCAGCGACCACTACAATTCCTGCACACTCAGATGGGAGGCTGATCAAGGGGAAGTGGTCAGCCAGCAAGCCCCTGGCAGTACCAGCTCCACACTGCTGACACTGGGCTCTCGGTCCGCATCGGAGTCACTCTGTGGAGGGCAGCAGGTGCTAGGTGGACGCCTGTCAAGGATCTCATGGCGACCGCTTTGTTCCCATAGGTGAGCCTAGGTGGGCAGCGGAAGCCAGCCTGGCTGGCATCCCATCCTACACCTGCAAGTCTGTTCTCTTGGGTCATACACCTGGGTCCCTGGCGACAGCATAGGACATGGCACCCAGGGGAGGCTCCTATGGGGGAACCAAATGCAGGAATAAAAACCATCAGAAAGCCACAGGCCCTGAAAGACACTGGCTGTCACTGCCACCAAAGTCCACTGTGGAACTACCCAGGAATCTGCCAGTGTAAGAGGCCCTCCACCCTGCCAGGCTGACTGGGGGCATGAGAGTGGCACCAGCTCCCTCTCAGGCAGCCTCTCTTCCCAGTGTCCCCTGCGCCCCGCCAGGCCCACCATGGCCCCATGCAGGCCACAGGACGACCAGTGATGGCTCGGAGGCGAGGGGACTTGCCTAAAACCACAGAGCCCGTGATGCTGGCTTGAAGTCCCAAGCTTGTTAGTGAGGAACCTCAGTATTTTCTGCTTTTGTGGTTTCTGCCTTGCTTGCTTGGCCGGGGGGCTGGTGAACCCCAGGTCTGACAGCCTACGTGACCCCTGGCAGGCCAGGCCTCAGGAAGGAGGCCCCCTGGTGTGCTTTTTAGATAAGACTTGCTCACTACCCCATAGCCCACCAGTTTGCACTTTTTGAAAGTTGCTTGCTTCAAACCCACCAATAGAAGCCTGCCAATTTGCTCTTTTTAAAAGTTAACAGTAAAACTGACCAATCATGACTTGTGGAATTGGCTTGAAGTGTATAAAAACCTTGTGCTGTCCAACCTTGGGGCCCTCTCTCTCTCGCCCAATCCCGCTGGGCTGGGTGGCGCTGGAAGCCTAGGCTAGTCTGAATAAACCACCCTTATGCGTTTGCACCAACTTCAGACTCCTGATGGTTTCTGGGGAATCTCAAAATCTAGGTACATTAGGTGTGGCAGCTGAGCTTACCCAGAGGCAGGGGTCTAGCTGAACCACCAGGGGGTCCACAGAGACCACCCTCTCCAATTCCACTCAGACCCAGTTTCCCAGGCTCCAGGCGAAGCACTAACAGGGACAGCAACCTTAAAGGCAGGACAGCAAATGAGTCCTGAGTCACTGGTGTCCTGGGGCTCGGCAGTAGGGCATGCCCTGGGGGTAGTGCGGGATAGTGGCTGGGCCCCAGACTGGATGTGAAACCCAACCCTTCTCTTCTGTCCCCCAGGATCTGATGCCTCTTGGGGGCGTGGAGGGGGTCCCACTTCCTGCAGTCCGGGGGTGCGAGGTGGGGCACTTCCCAGCTCACGTCCCTGCCCATGTCTTCCAAGTACTGTGGAGGGCTCTGAATCCTGGGCATTACGAAAGGAGGTGGGGACCTAGGAGGGTGTGGAGGAGCCTGCTGGTGGGGGCAGGGGCCTGTGGGGCTGCAGGAATGAGGGGAGCCAGGGACGAGGCAGGACACGTGCCATGGCGCCCTGTCGGGAGGGTTGTTAATGAACTACCACGTTCCCGACTGGGCTGCTCCGAGCTTACAGCCTGCACCTGTAACTACACCTGCCTGCTTCCGACTCAGGGCTGATAAGGGACAGGTGCAGCCCTCAGCATGCTCCCTGTGAAGTGGGAAGGGCTAGCAGGGCAGATGAGGGGAAGTGCAGGGCACATAGTGATGACTCCAGGGAGAGCGGCACATAGACCACACGGCACTTCTGTGCCACCAAGCCTTGCGGAGTCAGGATGCACCAGGGCCATGCATGGCTGGCTGTGCAGAGCACACATCCTCGCGAGGCTTGGGTGATGCCAGGCCCTGTGCTGGTGCCCATGTACGTGCTGTGCGGGCCAGAAAGCTGGGAGAGAGCTCTGGCAGACAGAGCATCTGCACTGCAGCTTTGTTCACCTCCACGTTTCCAGCACTTAATCGCAACGTTTGGCGTTCATGCTGCCAGTCTCCTGCCGGAGCAGGACACACATTCTTAGAAAGAGGTCAGAAGCTGACAGCCCAAGGGCTCTCACGACCCATGCAATCAGGGGCTGGGCCGGGCACTGTGCCCACAGGCGGGGGAGCCGTGGGAGGCGGCCAACAGCGGTGGCTCTAAGAACACACGGCCAGCTGGCAGGCAGAGGGTGGGGGAGGAGGAAGGTGGGCATTTACTTAAACTCACTGTGGGCCAGGTGCCAATCTCTACGCTTCAAGGACAAAGCAGGAACTCGCCCCTGT